ACTCCATAGCACCCCACAGTGACCCCACAGTGCCCCATAGTGACCCCATAGTGCCACATAGTGACTCCATAGGGCCACACAGTGACCCCACAGCGCCCCACAGTGACCCCACAGCACCCCATAGTGACCCCACAGCGCCCCATAGTGACCCCATAGTGCCCCATAGTGACCCCATAGTGCCACATAGTGACTCCATAGGGCCACAGTGACCCCACAGCACACCATAGTGACCCCATAGCGCCCCATAGCGACCCCATAGCGCCCAATAGTGACCCCATAGCGCCCCAAAGTGACCCCATAGGGCCCCATAGAGACCCCATAGCGCCCCATAGTGACCCATAGTGACTTCATAGCGCCCCACAGTGACCACACAGTGCCCTATAGTGACCCCATAGCGCCCCATAGAGACCCCATAGATCCCCATAGTGACCCCATAGCGCCCCATAGAGACCCCACAGCTCCCTATAGTGACCCCATAGCGCCCCATAGTGACCCCACAGCTCCCTATAGTGACCCCACAGCGCCCTATAGTGACCCCATAGCACCCCATAGAGACCCCACAGATCCATATAGTGACTCCATAGCACCCCACAGTGACCCCACAGTGCCCCATAGTGACCCCATAGTGCCACATAGTGACCCCACAGTGGCCCACAGCACCCCATACTGACCCCATGCGCCCCATGACCCCACAGCGCCCCATAGAGACCCCACAGATCCCCAAGTGACTCCATAGCGCCCCACAGTGTTCACACCGCACCCCATAGTGACCCCATAGCGCCCCATAGTGACTCCATAGCGCCCCATAGTGACTACACAGTGCCCTATAGTGACCTCATAGCGCCCCATAGCGACCCCATAGTGACTCCATAGCGCCCCATAGTGACCACACAGTGCCCTATAGTGACCCCATAGAGCCCCATAGCGCCCCCATAGCGCCCCATAGTGACCCCACAGCGCCCCATAGTGACCCCTTACCTCCCCATAGCGCCCCATAGTGACTCCACAGCGCCCCATAGTGACCCCATAGCGCCCCATAGTGACCCCACAGCACCCCATAGCGCCCCATAGTGACCCCACAGCACCCCATAGCGCCCCATAGTGACCCCATAGCGCCCCATAGCGCCCCCATAGCGCCCCATAGTGACCCCATAGCGCCCCATAGTGACCCCACAGCACCCCATAGCGCCCCACAGTGACCCCACAGCACCCCATAGTGACCCCATAGCGCCCCATAGTGACCCCATAGCGCCCCATAGTGACCCCACAGCACCCCATAGCGCCCCACAGTGACCCCACAGCACCCCATAGCGCCCCCATAGCGCCCCATAGTGACCCCATAGCGCCCCATAGTGACCCCACAGCACCCCATAGTGACCCCACAGCACCCCATAGCGCCCCATAGTGACCCCATAGCGCCCCCATAGCCCCCCACAGTGACCCCACAGCACCCCATAGCGCCCCATAGTGACCCCATAGCACCCCATAGCGCCCCATAGTGACCCCATAGCACCCCATAGCGCCCCCATAGCGCCCCATAGCGCCCCCATAGCGCCCCATAGTGACCCCATAGCCCCCCACAGTGACCCCACAGCACCCCATAGCGCCCCCCTGACCCTCGCTGCTTCATTGCCCCCCCCCCCAGCTTCCTGCGCCCCCTAATAGCGCTAACGGCTCATCCCCTCCCGCCGGCCAATCAGGGAGCGGAGCGGCTGCTGCTGGCCCCGCCCACCCGAAGCTGATTGGCTGCGGGTGCTGAAGGGGGCGGCACCACAAGGGCCAGCCAGGGGGTCGCTATAGGGCACCCCACAGAGACCAATGTGGGGGCCCACAGACACCCCTTGCTATGGGGCGCCCCATAGAGACCAATGTGGGGGGCCCACAGACACCCCTTGCTATGGGGCACCCCACAGAGACCAATGCGGGGGCCCACAGACACCCCTTGCTATGGGGCGCCCCATAGAGACCAATGTGGGGGGACACAGACACCCCCATGGGTGCCCCATAGAGACCAATGTGGGGGCCCACAGACACCCCTTGCTATGGGGCGCCCCATAGAAACCAATGTGGGGGGCCCATAGATACCCCTTGCTATGGGGCACCCCACAGAGACCAATGTGGGGGCCCACAGACACCCCTTGCTATGGGGCGCCCCATAGAGACCAATTGGGGGGGCCCACAGACACCCCATAGAGAGCCGTTGCCATGGGGCACCCCACAGCAACCCCTTCCCATGTGCTCCCCCCCGATTCCATGCGGCCCAGCCCCACACATTCCCCCCCCCCCCCCGGATGCATTGTGGGGCACCCGTTCCCCCTTATCAGCCCCACACAGCCACCACCACCACACCCCCCTCCCTGCCCCATAGCGCTATGGGGCAGAGCCCCATAACCCCCCCCCCCCCAGCGCCTCACCTCTGTGCTGTGGGTGCTACGGGTGCTATGGGGCAGGAGGAGGAGCTATGGGGCTGGGGTGGACCCTGACCTTCACCAGCACCCAATAGGCAGGGCGGGGCTGCCCCTGCCCCATAGCGCCCTATGGGGCGACGGGGGGGGGGTGGGGGGGTGGGGGCAGCGCTATGGGGCTGGAGGGGGTGACCCATAAGTGGGGGGTGCGGGGACCCTGCAGCACCCATGGGGGGGGGGGGGAGGGGCGGGGGGGGGGTATTTATAGCACAGGCGGAGAGGTGACACCAAGGGAATGGGAACAACCCCCCCCCCCCGTGCCCCATAGATGGGCCCGGCCATGGGGCGCCCCATAGGGACCGTGGGGGGCCCCAGAGCAGCTCACTGCTATGGGGTGCCCCATAGATGTGCTTTGTGACCCCCGTGGCTGCCCCATAGACCCCTGCAGTGTGGCTGCCCCATAGACACCCTTTGCTATGGGGTGCCCCATAGATGTGCTTTGTGACCCCCATGGCTGCCCCATAGACCCCTGCAGTGTGGCTGCCCCATAGACACCCTTTGCTATGGGGTGCCCCACAGATTCCCCCCTCCGTTGATGCCCCATAGACACATCCTCAATGTGGGGTGCCCCACAGATGCTCCTTGCTATGGGGTGCCCCATAAATACCCCCTCCAGTGATGCCCCACAGACACATCCTCAGTGTGGGGTGCCCCATAGATGCTCCTTGCTATGGGGTGCCCCATAGTGACCTCTTGCTATAGGATGCCCCATAGGACTCCCCCAGTAAGCACCCCATAGATCTGCCCCACAGATCCCTCCCATAGGTGCCCCATAGATGTACCTTGTTATGGGGCACCCTACAGCCAACCCCCCCCCACCCAGTGGGTGCCCCATAGACACAAATCGCTATGGGGCTGCCCCACAGATGCCCCCATCCGTGGCTGCCCCACAGCTCCCCATTGCCATGGGGCTGCCCCACAACCACCCCTCGCTATGAAGCTGCCCCACAACCACCCTTCGCTATGGGGCTGCCCCACAACCACCCCTCACTATGGGGATGCCCCACAACTCCTCATTGCTATGGGGCTGCCCCACAACCACCCTTCGCTATGGGGCTGCCCCACAACCACCCCTCGCTATGGGGCTGCCCCACAACCCCCCCTCGCTATGGGGCTGCCCCACAACCACCCCTCGCTACGGGGCTGCCCCACAACCCCCCCTCGCTACAGGGCTGCCCCACAGCTCCCCATTGCCATGGGGCTCCCCACAATCCCCCCTCGCTATGGGGCTGCCCCACAGCTCCCCATTGCCATGGGGTTGCCACACGACCACTCCTCGCTATGGGGCTGCCCCACAACCACCCCTCGCTATGGGGCTGCCCCACAGCTCCCCATTGCCATGGGGTTGCCACACGACCACTCCTCGCTATGGGGCTGCCTCACAACCACCCTTGCTATGAAGCTGCCCCACAACCCCCCCTCGCTATGGGGCTGCCCCACAAATACTCCTCACGATGGGGCTGCCCCACAACCACCACTCACTACGGGGCTGCCTCACAACCACTCCTCGCTATGGGGCTGCCCCACAACCCCCCGTTGCTATGGGGCTGCCCCACAACCAGCCCTCTCTCTGGGGCTGCCCCACAGCTCCCCATTGCTATGGGGTTGCCCCACACCCCCCCCCTCGCTCTGGGGCTGCCCCACAACCACCCCTCGCTACAGGGCTGCCCCACAGCTCCCCATTGCCGTGGGGCTGCCCCACAACCACCCCTTGCTATGGGGCTGCCCCCGCATGCAAGAACCTTCAGGGCAAGAAAAACCACCAAAAACCGGGAATATTTGGGAAGAAAAATGTCCAAATCCCAAGGATCCCAAAAATCCCGAGGACCCCGAAGGTCCCAAAGATCCCAAAGATCCCAAAGATCCCAAAGATCCCAAGGATTCCTGGTCCCAAAGAGCCCAAGGATCCCAACGGATCTTGAAGATCCCAAAGGTCCTGAAGATCCCCAGGATCCCGAAGATCCCCAAAATCCCAAAGATCCTGAAGGATGCTGAAGATCCTGAAGGTCCCGAAGATCCCGAGGATCCCAAAGATCCCAAAGGATGCTGAAGATCCCGAAGATCCGGAAGATTCCAAAGATCCCAAAGATCCTGAAGGATGCTGAAGATCCAGAAGATCCCGAAGATCCCGAAGGATGCTGAAGATCCCAGAGATCCCGAAGATCCTGAAGGATGCTGAAGATCCAGAAGAACTGGAAGATCCCGAAGGATGCTGATGATCCCAAAGATCCTGAAGATCCCGAAGATTCCAAAGATCCCAAAGGATGCCGAAGATCCTGAAGGATGCTGAAGATCCTGAAGATCCCGAGGATCCCGAAGGATGCTGAGGATCCCAAAGATCCGGAAGATCCTGAAGGATGCTGAAGGATGCTGAAGATCCTGAAGATCCCGAGGATCCCAAAGGATGCTGAAGGATGCTGAGGATCCCGAAGATCCCGGAGGATGCTGACGATCCAAAGGATCACGGAGGATGCTGAAGGATGTTGAAGATCCCGAAGATTCCAAAGGATGCTGAAGATCCCGAGGATTCCCGATCCCCGGCTGCTCTCACATCACCCGGCAGCACCGGCGCTTCCCACCCGGAGCCTCCTCCAGGGGCGCCGTCAGCTTCAGGAGCGGCGGCTCCGGATCCCAATGATCCCGTTCCGGATCCCGATGATCCCGTTCTGGATCCCAATGATCCTGCTCCAGATCCCGATGTTCCTGGTCTGGATCCCAATGATCCCGTTCCTGATCCCGACGTTCCCGTTCCGGATCCCGACGTTCCTGCTCCAGATCCCAACATTCCCGCTCCGGATCCTGACGATCCCGCTCCGGATCCCGACGTTCCCGTTCCGGATCCCGACGTTCCCGCTCTGGATCCCGACGTTCCCGCTCCGGATCCCGACGTTCCCATTCCGGATCCCGACGTTCCCGCTCCTGATCCCGACGTTCCCGCTCCGGATCCCGACGTTCCCGCTCCAGATCCCGACGTTCCCGTTCTGCATCCCAACGTTCCCACTCCAGATCCCGACGTTCCCGCTCCTGATCCTGACGATCCCGCTCCTGATCCCGATGTTCCCGCTCCAGATCCCGACGTTCCCGTTCCGGATCCCGACGTTCCCGCTCCGGATCCCGACGTTCCCGCTCCTGATCCCGACGTTCCCGCTCCTGATCCCGACGTTCCCGCTCCGGATCCCGACGTTCCCGCTCCAGCCGCTGCCCCTTGGAAGCCGCCCGGAGCCTCTTGAGATCGGCCAAGGTGTGGGGGGGGCTCGGGACCCCGTTGGGTTGCTCCGGATCCGATCCCATTGGATGCTGTTGGGAAGAGTGCAGGGAGGGGGGGGGAGGGGGGATCCCGGGCGGATCCCATCCCGACCCATTCCCATCGGGAATCACCTCGGGGCTCCCGCGGCGCCGCTGCCACACCAGGGCCTCGCGCTCGTGCTCCCGCCGGTAGAGGCTGCAGCGCTCCGAGAGGCTGGCGCGGCGCACGACTTTCCTGGGAATGCCGGCACGGATGGAGCCACAGGGATACGGCCCCGGGCCTCAGCCCCATCCATAGGGATACGGCCCCGGAGCCCCATCCCCATCCATAGGGATACAGCCCCGGGGTCTCATCCCCATCCATAGGGATACAGCCCTGGAGCCCCATCCCCATCCATAGGGATATGGCCCCAGGGACCAGCCCCAGGACCTCATCCCGATCCATAGGGATACAGCCCCGGGGCATCATCCCCATCCATAGGGATACAGCCCCGGAGCCTCATCCCGATCCATAGGGATACAGCCCCAGGGTCTCATCCCCATCCATAGGGATACAGCCCCGGGGTCTCAGCCCCATCCATAGGGATACAGCCCCGGGGCATCAGCCCCATCCATAGGGATACGGCTCCAGGACCTCATCCCGATCCATAGGGATACAGCCCCGGGGCCTCAGCCCCATCCATAGGGATACGGCCCCGGAGCCTCAGCCCAAGCCATAGGGATACGGCCCCGGGGCCTCAGCCCCACCCATAGGGATACAGCCCCGGAGCCCCATCCCCATCCATAGGGATACGGCCCCGGGGTCTCAGCCCCATCCATAGGGATACAGCCCCAGGGCCTCAGCCCCATCCATAGGGATACGGCCCCAGGGTCTCATCCCCATCCATAGGGATACAGCCCCGGGGTCTCAGCCCCATCCATAGGGATACGGCCCCGGAGCCCCATCCCCATCCATAGGGATACAGCCCCGGGGCATCATCCCCATCCATAGGGATACAGCCCCAGAGCCCCATCCCCATCCATAGGGATACAGCCCCGGGGCCTCATCCCCATCCATAGGGATACGGCCCCAGGGACCAGCCCCAGGACCTCATCCCCATCCATAGGGATACAGCCCCATGGAGCAGGATGCTCCAGGCCCCAGAGGTGCATCCCATTCCATAGGGATACAGCCCCATGGAACAGGATGATCCAAGCCCTGAAGGTGCATCCCAATCCATAGGGATACATCCAAATGGACCAGGGAGCTCCAAGTCCCAGGGGCGCATCCCATTCCATAGGGATACATCCTAATGGACCAGGATGCTGCAGGCCCCAGAGGCTTATTCCATTCCATAGAGATACATCCCAATGGACCAGGATGCTCCAAGCCCCAGAGGTGCATCCCAATCCATAGGGATACATCCCAGTGGACCAGAATACTCCAGGGCCCTAAGGCTCAATCCCATTCCATAGGGATAAATCCCCACGGACGAGGATGCTCCAGGTCCCCGAGGAGCATCCCAATCCATAGGGATACACCCCAATGGACCAGAATACTCCAGGGTCCTAAGGCTCAATCCCAATCCATAGGGATACATCCCAAGGGACCAGGATGCTCCAAGCCTCAGAGGCTCACCCCATTCCATAGGGATACATCCCAATGGACCCGGATGCTCCAAGCCTCAGAGGCTCACCCCATTCCATAGGGATACATCCCAATGGACCAGGATGCTCCAAGCCCCATCCAACCACATTGGAGCATCCAGAACATTCCCATTCCCGTCTCCCACCACCCTCATCCCATAGATCCCATCCAACTTTTCCCATTGGAATTCCAAACTCCTCCTCCCACCCTTTACCCCAAGCCCCTCTCCAGGTTCCCTTTAGGCACCGGAGCTGCTCCAAGGGGGTTTTCCCATTCCCATCCCTCGGATCCCGCCCCATTCCCGGCCTCACCCGCGGCTCCCGGCGCTGGAAGCGCGGCGCTGGAGCAGGGATTTGTGTTTTTCCTGGGATTTCATCACGGCCGCGCGCTTGTGCTTCAGCTCCAGGAGCTTGGAGCGGGTCCGCTCATCCCCGCAGACGTCTGGGAGCAGCGGGAATACCGGGAATACCGGGAATGGAGGCAGGGAGAGCGGGGATGGGAGGGGCACAAAGGGATGGGGATGGACACAAAGGGATGGGAATGGGGATGGACACAAAGGGATTGGGATCAGGGATGGACACACAAAGGGATGGGATCAGGGATGGACACACATCAGGGATGGACACACAAAGGGATGGGAATAGGGATGGACACACAATGGGATTGGGATCAGGGATGGACACACAAAGGGATGGGATCAGGGATGGGATCAGGGATGGACACACAAAGGGATGGGATCAGGGATGGACACACAAAGGGATTGGGATCAGGGATGGACACACAAAGGGATGGGATCAGGGATGGACACACAAAGGGATGGGATCAGGGATGGACACACAAAGGGATGGGAATGGGGATGGACACACAAAGGGATGGGATCAGGGATGGACACACAAAGGGATTGGGAATAGGGATGGACACACAAAGGGATGGGAATAGGGATGGACACACAAAGGGATGGGAATAGGGATGGACACACAATGGGATTGGGATCAGGGATGGACACACAAAGGGATGGGATCAGGGATGGGATCAGGGATGGACACACAAAGGGATGGGATCAGGGATGGACACACAAAGGGATGGGATCAGGGATGGGATCAGGGATGGACACACAAAGGGTGGGAATAGGGATGGACACACAAAGGGATGGGATCAGGGATGGACACACAAAGGGATGGGAATGGGGATGGACACACAAAGGGATGGGATCAGGGATGGACACACAAAGGGATTGGGATCAGGGATGGACACACAAAGGGATGGGAATAGGGATGGACACACAATGGGATTGGGATCAGGGATGGACACACAAAGGGATGGGATGAGGGATGGACACACAAAGGGATTGGGAATGGGGATGGACACACAAAGGGATGGGATCAGGGATGGACACACAAAGGGATGGGAATGGGGATGGACACACAAAGGGATTGGGAATAGGGATGGACACACAAAGGGATAGGAATAGGGATGGACACACAAAGGGATGGGATCAGGGATGGACACACAAAGGGATGGGAATGGGGATGGACAAACAAAGGGATGGGAATGGGGATGGACACACAAAGGGATTGGGAATAGGGATGGACACACAAAGGGATGGGAATAGGGATGGACACACAAAGGGATGGGATCAGGGATGGACACAAAGGGATTGGGAATGGGGATGGACACACAAAGGGATGGGATCAGGGATGGGATCAGGGATGGACACACAAAGGGATTGGGAATAGGGATGGACACACAAAGGGACTGGGATCAGGGATGGACACACAAAGGGATGGGATCAGGGATGGACACACAAAGGGATTGGGATCGGGGATGGACACACAAAGGGATGGGATCAGGGATGGGATCAGGGATGGACACACAAAGGGATGGGATCAGGGATGGGATCAGGGATGGACACACAAAGGGATTGGGAATAGGGATGGACACACAAAGGGATGGGAATAGGGATGGAGACACAAAGGGATGGGATCAGGGATGGGATCAGGGATGGACACACAAAGGGATGGGATCAGGGATGGGATCAGGGATGGACACACAAGGTGAGGACTCACCCAGGGGCGTCTCATCCAGCTCCGACTTGGAATTGAGGTCGGCTCCATGAGCAACCAAGAGCTCCAGGATGGGCAGCTGCCGGGAATGGGGGAAAATGGGGGGAAAATGGGAAAACTGTGGGGAAAATGGAGGGGAAATGGGAAAACTGCCTGAAAAATGGGGGGAAATGCAGGCAAACGGGGGAAATTGTGGGAAAATTAGGGAAAATGGGGGAAAATTGGGGAAAATTGGGGTGAAACTGGGGAAAAGGGGTTAATTGGGGAAAATGGGGGGAGAAAATTGGGGATAATGGGGAAAAAATAGAGAAAATGATGGAAAAATGGGGGAATTGGAAGGAAATTGGGGAAAAATTTAGAAGAGTGGGGGGAAAATGGATGAGAATGGGAAGAAATGGGGGAAATGGAGGGAATGGGGGAAATGAAAAGAAATTGGGGGAAATTGAGGAAAAATTGGGCAAAATCAAGGAAATCAGACAGGATTTGCCTGAAATCTGGGGAATTTTGCTCAAAATTGAGCAAATTTGCTCAAAATTTGCGTAAAATTCAGCAAAATTGGGCAGGATTTGCCTGAAAATTGGGCTGAATTGGGGAATTTTGGCCCAAATAGGACAGACTGAGGCAGAGTTTGACTGAAAATGGGGAAACTTTGACCAAAATCAGATCAAATTGGAAGAATCGGGAAGGGTTTGCCTGAAATTTGGTAAATTTTGCCCAAAATTGGGAAAAATCCTGCAGAATTGGGAATTGTGGAAAATTCAGTGATTTTGTCCAAATTCCCACAGAATCAGACACGGTTTGCCTGAAAATCAAGGGATTTGACCCAAAATCAGGCAGAATCAGGCAGGGTTTACCTAAAAATTGGGTGATTTTGCCCCAGGTTAGGCAAAATTGGGCAGGGTTTGTCTCGAAATGGAGCAAAATTGGGCAGAATTGGGCAATTTTGCCCCAAAACGAGCAAAATCGAGAAGAAAGAGGCAGGGATTGCCTGAAAATTGGGAAATTTTGAGCAAATTTGGGCCAAATCAGGAAGAATGAGGCAGGTTTGCCTGAAAATAGGGAGATTTAGCAAAAAAATTGGGAAGAATTGGGCAGTTTGTTGGAAAATTTGGCAACTTTGCACCAAATTGGGCAGCATCAGGCAGGAGTTGCCTGAAAAGTTGGGAATTTCACCCCAAATAACACAAAATGAGGCTGGGTTTGTCTGAAAATGGAATGGGTTTGCCCAAAATCCAGCAGAATCGGGCAGGTTTGCCTGGAAATGTGGCAATTTTAACCAAAATTGGGTGGAATTGGGCATGATTTCCCTGAAAATAAGGCAATTTGGGGTAAAATCGGCCAAAATCAGGCAAGATTTACCTGAAAATTGGATTATTTCACCCAAAATAGGGCATGGGCGGGCAGAATCAGTCAATTTTGACCAAAATGGAGAAAAATTAGACAGAATTGGGCAGGGTTTGCCAGAAAATCAAATTATTTTATCCCAAATGGGGCAAAATCAGGCAGGGTTTTCCTGAAAATTGGGAGATTTTGCCCCAAATCAGGAAGGGTTTGAAATATTCAGGAAACGCTACCTGATTCAACCCAATTTTTCCCAATTTTAGGCAAAATTGTCCAAATTTTGCCCCCAAAATGGCAGAACTCACCTGAAAAGCAGGGAATTTCACCCCAAATCAGGCAAAATTGGGCAGAATTGAGCACGGTTTGCCTGAAAATTGGGAACTTTGCCCAAAATTCAGCTAAATCAGGCTGAACATTTGGAATTTTGCCTAAAATTGAGAAGGATTTGCCTGAAAATTGGGAATTTTTTCCTAAAATTGAGCAAAATCTGGTTGAACATTAGAATTTTGCCTCAACTTGAGAAAAATCAGGCAGGGTTTTCCTGACAATCAGAAATTTTGCTTAAAATTGAGTACAATTGGGCAGGATTTGCCTGAACTTAGGAATTTTGCCTAAACCTGAGCAAAACAGGGTTGAAAATTGAGAATGTTGACAAAACTTGAGCATAAATGGAAAGGATTTGCCTGAAAATTGGGAATTTTTGTCTAAAAATGAGCATAATCTGGTTGAAAATGCAAATTCTGCCTAAAATTGAGCAAAACCAGGCTAAAATGAGAGTGTTGCCTAAACTTGGGCAAAATCAGGCAGAGTTTTCCTGAAAATTTGGATTTTTGCTGAAAATTGAGCAAAATTGGAAAGGATTTGCCGGAAAATCAGAAATTTCTGCCCAAAATTCAGCAAAATCAGGTTGAAAATGGGGAATTCTGCCTAAAATTGAGCAAAATCATTCTCAAAATTAGAATTTTGCCTAAACTTGAGCAAAATCAGGCAAGGTTTTCCTGACAATTGGGAATTTTGCTTAAAATTGAGTCCAATTGGGCAGGATTTGCCTGAACTTAGGAATTTTGCCTAAACCTGAGCTAAACAGGGTTGAAAATTGAGAATTTTGATGAAAACTGATCAAAATTGGAAAGAATTTGCCTGAAAATTGGAAACCTTTGCCCAAAATTGAGCAAAATCCGGTTGAAAGTGGGGAATTCTGCCTAAAATTGAGCAAAATCATTCTCAAAATTAGAATTTTGCCTAAACTTGAGCAAAATCAGGCAAGGTTTTTCTGACAACTGGGAATTTAGCTTAAAATTGAGTCCAATTGGGCAGGATTTGCCTGAACTTAGGAATTTTGCCGAAACCTGAGCTAAACAGGGTTGAAAATTGAGATTTTTGATGAAAATTGAGCAAAATCGGAAAGGATTCATCTGAAAATTGGGCCTTTTTGCCGAAAATTGAGCAAAATTGGAAAGAATTTGCCTGAAAATTGGAAACCTTTGCCCAAAATTGAGCAAAATCCGGTTGAAAGTGGGGAATTCTGCCGAAAAGTGAGCATTTTGCCAAAGATTGAGCAGAATCCCACTGAAAATTGGGAATTTTGGCCCCTTTTGCCCCGAACGGGGTGGGAATGAGGCCGACTCCACCAGGACCGCTGCCCTACCTGCCCCCAGCAGGCAGCAGCGTGCAGCGGCTCCCATCCATCCCAATCCCGGACGGCGATCCCGGCGCGATGCTCCAGCAGCAGCTCCGCCGCCTCCATGTACCCGTTGGCCGCGGCAACGTGGAGCTGTTGGGAATGGAGAGGATCCAGTTGGGAATGAGGCTCGGCACCACCGTGTCCCCCCCCCACAATGACCCCATTCCCAACACCCTACCAAGGTGGCTCCGTGTCCCCGTGGAGCATCCAGATCCTCTCCGGCATCCAGGAGCCGCCGGATCTCCGCCAGCATCCCGCGCTCCGGAGCGGCGCGCGCCTCCTCGATCTTCTCCTGCGTGATCCCTAAGGGCGACACCAAGGAAGGGACAAGCCATGGATCCCCACGGATCCCAATGGATCCCAATGGATCCCAATGGATCCACTGGGGTGCCGCTCACCCTGCGCGGCCATGGCGCTCTCCAGGCAGTCCAAGGTCGCCTCGTCCTCGCACAGGTCGTAGGGCATGTTCCCGTCGGAGTTGAGCGCCAACAGATCGGCTCCGCTGGGATTTAGGGATAAACCCATGGGATCGGGACCCACGGGGCCCTCACCCCCGTGCCCATTCCCATATCCCGATCCCGGTGTTACCGTTGGATCAGGAGCTGGACCAGGCCCAGGTGGCCGCAGGTGGCGGCCGCGTGAAGAGGGGTCCAGAGCTCGCTGTCGACGGCGTTGACGTCGGCGCCGGCGTCCACCAACGCCGTCACCACGGCCCCGCAGTCATCGATGCAGCTCTTGGGAGGAGGGAAAACCATGGGATAAGGTGGAAAACCATGGGATAAGGTGGGAAAACCATGGGATAAGGTGGGAAAACCATGGGATAAGGTGGAAAACCATGGGATAAGGTGGAAAACCATGGGATAAGGTGGGGAAACCATGGGATAAGGTGGGGAAAACCATGGGATAAGGTGGAAAACCATGGGATAAGGTGGAAAACCATGGGATAAGGTGGAAAACCATGGGATAAGGTGGGGAAAACCATGGGATAAGGTGGGGAAAACCATGGGATAAGGTGGGGAAAACCATGGGATAAGGTGGAAAACCATGGGATAAGGTGGGGAAAACCATGGGATAAGGTGGAAAACCATGGGATAAGGTGGGGAAATCCATGGGATAAGGTGGAAAACCATGGGATAAGGTGGAAAACCATGGGATAAGGTGGAAAACCATGGGATAAGGTGGGGAAAACCATGGGATAAGGTGGAAAACCATGGGATAAGGTGGAAAACCATGGGAGGTAAGGTGGGAAACCATGGGATAAGGTGGAAAACCATGGGATAAGGTGGGGGAAACCATGGGATAAGGTGGAAAACCATGGGATAAGGTGGGGAAAACCATGGGATAAGGTGGGGAAATCCATGGGATAAGGTGGGGGAAACCGTGGGATAAGGTGGGGAAAACCATGGGATAAGGTGGAAAACCATGGGATAAGGCGGGGGAAACCATGGGATTAGGTGGGAAAACCATGGGATAAGGTGGAAAACCATGGGATAAGGTGGGGAAAACCATGGGATAAGGTGGAAAACCATGGGATAAGGTGGAAAACCATGGGATAAGGTGGGGAAACCATGGGATAAGGTGGGAAAAACCATGGGATAACGTGGGGAAATCCATGGGATAAGGTGGAAAACCATGGGATAAGGTGGGGAAATCCATGGGATAAGGTGGAAAACCATGGGATTAGGTGGAAAACCATGGGATAAGGTGGAAAACCATTGGATAAGGTGGGGAAAACCATGGGATTAGGTGGAAAACCATGGGATTAGGTGGAAAACCATGGGATAAGGTGGGGGAAACCATGGGATAAGGTGGAAAACCATGGGATAAGGTGGAAAACCATGGGATAAGGTGGGGAAAACCATGGGATTAGGTGGAAAACCATGGGATAAGGTGGGGAAAACCATGGGATAAGGTGGGGAAATCCATGGGATAAGGTGGAAAACCATGGGATAAGGTGGAAAACCATGGGATAAGGTGGGAAGCTCCATCCAGGAAGGATCTTGGGGGGTTCCGGTGGTACCTGGTGCAGCGCGGTGAGACCGTCCTCGTTGCACAGGTCGGGGCTGATGCCGCTGGCCAGGAATTGTCGGACTGCGGATGAGGAACGGGGTTGGAGACGGGATAAGGATGGGATGGAAGGGACCAAAGGGTGCTCCAAGCGCCAGCCAACGGCTGCCGGCGATGGGAGCATCCCAAACTTCTCCATCCATCCCATTCCCGGCTCCCACCACCCTCATGGAGCTTCTCCATGGCTTCTTCCAGAGCCATTCCAGGCGATCCAGGTCCCTCTGGAGCCATGGAGCTGGATCCCATGGAGCATCTCCAAACCCGACACCTCCAAGTCCTTCTCCTCAGGGATGCTCCATCCCGTCCCCTTCCAGCCTGTGCCTGGGATTGGGATTGGCCCAACCCCCTGCTCCCACCTCATGGTGTTCCCATCTCAACCCCATCCTCATCCCGCCTCAACCTCAATCCCCCACCATATCCACACTTCCAAGCTCCAGGCTCATTTTATGGGATGCTCCCATCCAAATTTGGGATCTGCATCCCATTTCCCACCCCAATCCCATCGGATCCCCTAATGGAAACTTCCTCCAGCCTGGGATTGGGATTATCCCAACCCAACCAATCCCTTGCCCTTGTTCAACCTCACCCTGCTCCCACCTCAACATCCCAAGCTCCAGGCTCATTTCCCACCACATTCACACCCAAATTTGGGATCTCCATCCCATTTCCCACCCCAATCCCATCGGATCCCCCACCAGAAACTTCCTCCAGCCTGGGATTGGGATTATCCCAACCCCAACCCAATTCCTTGCCCTTGTTCAACCTCACCCTGCTCCCACCTCAACATCCCAAGCTCCAGGCTCATTTCCCAGCCCATTCACACCCAAATCCGGGATCTCCATCCCATTTCCCACCCCAATCCCACCGGATCCCTCACCAGAAACTTCCTCCATCACGGGATTGGGATTATCCCAACCCCAATCCAATCCCTTGCCCTTGTTCAACCTCACCCTGCTCCCACCTCAACATCCCAAGCTCCAGGCTCATTTCCCAGCACATTCAATCCCAAATTTGGGATCTTCATCCCATTTCCCACCCCAATCCCATCAGATCCCCCACCAGAAACTTCCTCCAGCACGGGATTGGGATTGGGATTGGGATTATCCCAACCCAAATCCAATCCCTTGCCCTTGTTCAACCTCACCCTGCTCCCACCTCAACATCCCAAGCTCCAGGCTCATTTCCCACCACATTCACACCCAAATTTGGGATCTTCATCCCATTTCCCACCCCAATCCCATCAGATCCCCCAATGGAAACTTCCCACAGCCTGGGATTGGGATTATCCCAACCCCAACCCAATCCCTTGCCCTTCTTCAACCTCATCCTGCTCCCACCTCAACATCCCAAGCTCCAGGCTCATTTCCCAGCCCATTCACACCCAAATCCGGGATCTCCATCCCATTTCCCACCCCAATCCCGTTGGATTCCCTCCCCCCTCACCCACCCTCCTCCGCATCTCTCCGGGCGGCCGCTTCCAGGAGCCGGACGTTCTCCGGGAACGTCACCCTCTTCCCCTGGGCGCCGCCGCTCTTCCTCCTCCTCCTCCTCCTCTTCCTCTCGGCTCCCGGCGCTTCCCGCTCGGCTTGGGCCCAGCTCCGGAGCTGCTGTGCCCGGCGCTCCCGGGCGTGCCGGAGGCGATCGGGAATGCCGAGCCGCGCCACCGCCGGCATCTCGGCCACCAGCTCCTGGTGCTCGGCCATGGGCAGCGCTGCCGGTGGATCCCAACGGGAACGGCGCCGGAGCCGCCACCGGCATCACCTCCCAAACGGGAATTTGGGGGGGGGGGGGGAAGGCTTAGCCCTGGATCCCGGGGCTCGGCCGGGGCTTGGCGGCGCATTCCGGAGGCAGGGATGGGAATTCCGGGATCATGGCCATGGGGGTTGAGCATCCAACGCCGTCGGATTCCGGAATCATGGAGGGCAAAGCGTCGCTGTCCGCTGAATGATCCACAGGGACTTCCTGCTCGCTGGAATTGTGTCCACCAAGGGGCCAGGGGCGTGGAGGAGCCAGGGAAAACCGGCTTGGAATGGTGCTGGATGCACCGGGTCCGGAGTGTGCGGGCTGCGCTTAACAGTGGAATCCTGTAGGGAAAGGGAAGGAATCCTGTAGGGGAAAGGGAAAGGATCCTATAGGGGAAAGGGAAGGAATCCTATAGGGGAAGGGATCCTATAGGGGAAAGGGAAGGGATCCTATAGGGAAAAGGGAAGGGATCCTATAGGGAAAGGGAAGGGATCCTATAGGGAAAAGGGAAGGGATCCTATAGGGAAAGGGAAGGGATCCTATAGGGGAAAGGGAAGGGATCCTATAGGGAAAAGGGAAGGGATCCTATAGGGAAAAGGGAAGGGATCCTATAGGGAAAAGGGAAGGGATCCTATAGGGAAAGGGAAGGGATCGTATAGGGGAAGGGAAGGGATCCTATAGGGAAAAGGGAAGGAATCCTATAGGGGAAGGGAAGGGATCCTATAGGGGAAGGGAAGGGATCCTATAGGGGAAAGGGAAGGAATCCTACAGGGAAAGGGAAGGGATCCTATAGGGAAAAGGAAGGGATCCTATAGGGAAAGGGAAGGAATCCTATAGGGAAAGGGAAGGGATCCTATAGGGAAAGGGAAGGGATCCTATAGGGAAAGGGAAGGGATCCTATAGGGAAAGGGAAGGGATCCTATAGGGAAAGGGAAGGAATCCTATAGGGGAAAGGGAAGGAATCCTATAGGGAAAGGGAAGGGATCCTATAGGGAAAGGGAAGGGATCCTATAGGGAAAGGGAAGGGATCCTATAGGGAAAGGGAAGGAATCCTACAGGGAAAGGGATCCTATAGGGGAAAAGGAAGGGATCCTATAGGGAAAGGGAAGGGATCCTATAGGGGAAGGGAAGGGATCCAATAGAGGAAAGGGAAGGGATCCTATAGGGGAAAGGGAAGGGATCCTATAGGGGAAGGGATCCTATAGGGAAAGGGAAGGAATCCTATAGGGAAAGGGAAGGGATCCTATAGGGAAAGGGAAGGGATCCTATAGGGAAAGGGAAGGGATCCTATAGGGGAAAGGGAAGGGATCCTATAGGGAAAGGGAAGGAATCCTATAGGGAAAGGGAAGGGATCCTATAGGGAAAAGGGAAGGGATCCTATAGGGAAAGGGAAGGGATCCTATAGGGGAAAGGGAAGGGATCCTATAGGGAAAGGGAAGGGATCCTATAGGGGAATGGGAAGGGATCCTATAGGGAAAGGGAAGGGATCCTATAGGGAAAGGGAAGGGATCCTACAGGGAAAGGGAAGGGATCCTACAGGGAAAAGGGAAGGGATCCTATAGGGAAAGGGAAGGGATCCTATAGGGGAAGGGAAGGAATCCTATAGGGAAAGGGAAGGGATCCTATAGGGAAAAGGGAAGGGATCCTATAGGGGAAAGGGAAGGAACCCTATGGGGAAAGGGAAGGGATCCTACAGGGAAAGAGAAGGGATCCTATAGGGGAAGGGAAGGGATCCTATAGGGGAAGGGAAGGGATCCTATAGGGAAAGGGAAGGGATCCTATAGGGGAAGGGAAGGGATCCTATAGGAAACAGGGAAGAAAGCTCCGTTTTGCCCATCCCCCGCTCCCGTTTTCCCCGTTCCCTAACGCAGGATTGACCCCACCCCACCCCCACCCCCCCCTCCCCCAACCCAAGGCGG